CTTCCCTCTAGTCTTACACTGCTAAATTAGGGACGGCTAGCGCAGGTAGCCCTCGTGTAGCTTTGCGTGAAATTCAAAAAAAAAAAAGGAGTATGGACTGTGTTCATTGAGAACTTTTATGTAATCACAATCGTGATTAGTTGCTTATGAGATCACTTTTTTATCTGTAATTACTTAAGAACAATTAATTCTTTCTTTTATCTAATGTATTACACTTAAGAACAAGAGGTTGCGAGATGGGCTAAAAGTTTTTTCTAAGTTTATTATTTAGAACGATTCTTTTTTTATTCAGTGCACTTGTGAATATTTAATATTAAAGTTTTTTTTTATCGTGTAAGTAGCAAAATAAGTCGACCGGTACATAATCAGAAGGCACCCGATACACAAACATAAATATTACTTATGATCAAGACAACTTTTAATTATTTTTATACTTTTTGACTCTTTATATATATATATATACATATATATTCATGCTTGTGTTTATACACAAATTGGTACTGGTGCTGCCATCTAGTAATTACTATATTGTTACAATTCGACTGTGCATGTCATCGTCTAGATTATTAGTAACGCAAAATTTGAATCTGATACAGAATAGCTGAATGTACTAGACTAACGTTGAGAAAACATTATGATTGCTGGAAAGGAGCTGTATTTTTTTTGGGTGGGGGAGATTGCTAACTATAAAACGACAAATACTTCATGTCAAAGAAGAGTACAGAGTTCGCAGATTGAAACTAAACTTAAGAAGTTTAGGCAAGTTTCAAAGAACGTGCAGAACACGATACAGTATAAATAAATTCTGTAAAAACCTGTAGGTCGGTGTTAAGTTTAAGAACTTAGAATGCTAAAATTCGACGTTTAGACTACCTTTTCTCGGACAGAGCTGTACAGAACTACAGTCAGTATTAATCCACTAATTATCAATGTTACTGTGATTGGCGGCTCTGTGAAATCATACATACGGCTGTTTTGAAACAGAAGTATTAAATGAACGCTAATTCTTTTCTCTCCTACAGTCGATTTTGGGAAATAAAAAATTCGGTTCTAAATATTCCCAATTTAAATTAACACGATGACTTTTCGAGAAATTTGTTTCAGGCTAAACATTTACACGTATTCATTTCAGTTTGTTTCAGGCTAAACATTTACACGTATTCATTTCAGTTTGTTTCAGGCTAAACATTTACACGTATTCATTTCAGTTTGTTTCGATTTTTATTCAAAGGGTAGGGCGGGATTTAGGACCAAAATGCGCGCGCGTGTGTGTGTGTGGTAGAGAGGGGGCAAAAAATTCTGACTTAATTATTGTTACTGTCTTGTGTATATCATATTTTCCCCCTCCCCATTCCTGCTTATACTTTCTATGATGTTGCGATACCTCTCAACTTACCTCAAATCAATGGTGGTCGATTGTACATTTTAAGATACTTCAGAATCACCATTTTTACTTTTTCTAAGAATCCACGAGAGAAAGAAAAGGAAAATATGTTAAAACATGTCAATCTCACTACATGTATCCTATCCAGTCTCGACGAGGCCTTTCGTGACAACCTAAGCTTCTGCTTAAAGTCTTCTCATTTTTTGCTTTTCCACCTTTATTGCATAACCAGTACTCATCGAGAATTTTTAAAAGAAATAAAATTGTTAACTCTTTTGTTGCTATGGGGACATCTATATCTCCTCCTCTATAGCATTTTCATGGGGGACCTATATGACCCCTTTTGAGCACAGGCACAGATATGGGCTACACCATATAACCTTTGTTTTAAGCCTTGAAAAGTGTGATATGGATTAGATATTCCGAGAAATTGATATGGAATATTTTTATAATTAATCAAAAAAATCACATATGTTACATATTAATTTGCATATTAATATTTCTTAAGGACTGCGAACGCTATCATCTGTGAAATATATTCAGGCAACTATCTAAAAAATCACGTTGATTTGACAATTAATAAGCGAGATATAAGTAATTATGCAACACCACATATGTTTCTGTGTGTATCTAAAAATAAATCTGACACTGATAGAGTTATTTGTCTATAAGAGCTAAAGGGATTAAAGTTTGAGTCTTTTTGAATACACACAGACAGAAGTTGCTTCTAACTTAGAATTCTTCTGTACCTGTGACATTTTCGGGGATACTACTCCAAAATCAGCGTCATATAACTTTCTTGTACAATCTTTCTTCTGGTTAATTGAAGGAAGGACAGAGATTTAGCGCACATGAGGGAAAAAAGAAAGGCACTGTTTTTTTTTTTTGTTCGATGTTCATTTTCTCACAAGATGTCTGCAGATGGTTGTATGTCATCATATAAAAGACAGTTTAGTGTAGGTTTATTAATTAACATATTTTGAGAGTGAATATTTCATATTTTATAACAAGATAATAAAAAGCAATCATTTTAAAGTAATCATTATGACAAGTTTAGTTACGTAACTCGGTAAGAATCGTACTTTTTGTTTATAATTCATTGATGTCGAGGCTATCGAACGTCGAGTGAAATTTATTGATGTCGAGGATATAGATATTTCTAGAAAGCGAGCAGACGATTAAGTGATAAATATATAAATAGTGTGAGAATAGCAGACAGACAGAGCAAACGAGACAGTAAAGTCCCGGGAAGTAGAATTTCGGCCAAAGAAAAGTTAAACGTAAAGTTAACTGTCGTAGGAGTGAAAGGTTTAACAGTTAATATAGGCCTAACGATTAATTTAAGAGTAAAACTAACAGTTTAAAAAGAGATAAGAAGTAGAGTTTATTCCGTCAAAATAAGTTCTAAAGTAATTGAACCAACCTGAGTGCACTTTGACAAATTGAACAGATTATATCTGAAGTACGAGGACCAGACGATTACTGGAAGAGAAGTATGCGACTGCGGTAACTCACGCTATAATTGTAAGTGAATTATAAATGGAATACTAGTGTTTAAGATAAAAATAGAGAAAAATAATTCGGATTGTTAACTGAATTCTAAAATAAGTGAATTGGCCTAAGTGGACTTTTGACAAGAAGAGAACTGTATGGTGTTTAAGATACAACTATGATATAGATAAAGGATTTCTGTACATACGTTTAACTTGTTTTGAATAAATTATTTTAAAACAAGCGGAATACATGCTGTTCATTAATCGTCAAATTTATCACCAAACAAGTCACATACACCTACTGTAGAATAATCCTTAGCCCAACACCTATATTATTCAATCTACTTACTAAATACTACTACTATATATAATATTAAGAAGAATAAGCACTTTATTTTGACATTGCACATTTGAAAACGTAACCATTTTAAACGAAGAAACATTTGATATTGGTCTATACTGTTTCAGGTCTTATACCACCTCCACATGACTTCTGTCGGCCTCAGTTCATTTCTTCAGGCGTCTTCGCCATTTGACGAAAACGTCGACAAGTTCACGTTTTGGGATTGCAACGATT